TGGCAATGTGCAAACCTAGAGAGCGAAGAGCCTACTCGAAACGCAACGACGCCAACTGCAAGGATGTCGTCAGCCGGGAGAATAGGTCATCGAAGGTGGTGACGCTGTGACATCAATGAACGCCCGGTATGAGGCACCATGAAGATGAATGCGAAGCTAGATGACCACCTCATACCGGGGGGCTACCGCATGGATCTGTACACATCCCGAGTGGACTGAGAACGCACGATTATATTTGATGGTGTTGCCTGAGTCACGGTTTTGGTGTGGAGTTACTGGAAGAGTGAAAGAGGTAGCGTAGAACTGTACGATGCGTGGTTGGCGTTCATCGAGTTGACCTTGTGGTCTCGATTTTGGGACTGGTGCAGACAGGTACGAAAATTGCGTTGGGTAAGGGCTTGAAAATGAAAAGAAGACACTCTCGTGGACATCAACGATTGTCACGTACGGGAAAAGGTACTCTGCAAGGTTCATCTCCGATTGAGCATTCGGGGGATGTAATGATCATGAGGATGAGTCGATCCATACTCCGAGATAGAATAAAAATGAGAAGCTCGAGATCAGCGTTGGAAGGGATGGAAGAGCAGATCGAACATCAAAAAAAGGCATTTGAAGTTCGAGATCTTGCACTGGCCGCTGGTATGATCGACTGACACACGGAATGGAGAGTGATATCGATATATCTCGTTCTTTGCGGCGAGGTGTCATTTTAGTGTTGGTACTAGATGGTTCTCCAAAACAAACTTTGTGCAAGAGAAAGAGCAAACTTTTATTTTGGGGAGGCTTACTTAAGTCGGAGCAACATAATTTCAAATGACCGGCATAGCTCACAAGGGACCGGAACTGTCAGTTCTCGATACCTATGTAGGGATTTCGATCGAGTGGTATAATTGGGGACGACTTGTGCTAAGGAATAGGACTGCGTATAAATTAACTACACGCACCCAGATTCAGTGAATAAAAGCCATCGTCATACCCTCCTCTGATCGAACGAGGAGTTCCGATACAATGAAAACGCTGCTAACAACCCCACTCTCAGCGAGGAGATTTGTATTTCTACACCTGTCTCAACAAGAATCGCGCTTATCACAGGTAGAAAAAATGTATAAATCATTGTGGGCCGCTCCGCGGACAAGACACGACAAAGAGATACAACTCCCCCGATTCAGAAGCAGTGCATGTAGCAAAAAGTGTATGGCCATGGCGAGGGAATGCAGAAAGTGAAGGTGAAGGTGAACTTGGTTCCGCCTCGCCAGGCCGGGGAATGGGGGGTGGGAGGAGTAAGGCCACGGAAAAAACAGACCACTATTGAGGCTGTTGGGGACCTTGGTGAGGCTGCTGCTGTGATCGTGCCTGGGGCGGCTGTTGTGTTGTGATCATAATAGGCTATCTGAGCATCGTTCCGCGGGGTTGTGAGAAAGTATTTGCAGCAAATTAAAAAGCCAGCGAGCGAACAGAAGAGTTACGAAGACAGAACCCAATGAACAGCTGTGAGAGTGTTAATACGTACGGACAACTCACGAATCATCCCGTAAGTGTAGATATTGAGCAGCATCCTCTTTTGCAGCCATTGACAACTGACCCTGTAACAGATAATGCAACGACCTGTGCTAGGCTGTTTCTTCCTTGAGAAAGACATTCATATTCTTCGCGCTCTGTTTCAAATTCCTCCTATCCTAACACCTAGAATGATGAGTGGCGGTAGAGTGGTAAGTCATGACCTTAAATAGGCCCAGCATAATTCCAAATGCTCATTTACCGCACAAACTTCGGGCTGAACCAGCTCACAAGGGACGTCTCGATCGAGGTGGGGACGCAAGTCCGATCAGGTGCCAGAAAGTAATCCAGGTAATTCCAGTTTCAACCGATTAGTATAATTAGGATAGGACGACTTATGCCGAAGAACGTAATTAATGACGACGAACCTTGATAAACCGATAACCTTGAATCTTCGTAAAGGATGATCCCAAGTCGACTTGGCTGCTAGGAAGCAAACACCCTCATGAGCACCCATCCTCTTCATCGTGCAATCCGAATCCCCGACTCCAAAAACGACAATACTGTTCCTGAGATCACGGTGATGCCTAATACGATATGGAAGAACGGTGCGCATTTAATAAAACAAGCATCACCGTCTATATCAGACATCAAGTTAAGTATATCATGCTTCCGGAGAGACCGAACAGGGACCGAAGAGGCATCTAACCAATGGCAAAGTGCGAGCTATGAACCTGGAAAGCGAAGAGTGAAGAGCAATCTTACTCCGAGAGGAAATGCAACGACGCCAACTGTAAAGGTGTCTTCATAATTCCCACCGCTGGGCAGCGACATTGACGAACACCCGATATATGATTCAGACACTATCAAGAGAAACTACCCATGAAGATATGCCATATCGGGGGTTATCACGTGAATCTGCACAAGTCCCAAGTGGAACACTTGGTAGCGGTCTGTGATTTCCTGCAAGTGATTTGGAGGAGTGAATGTAGCACAGAACTAGTACTATCGACGGTACCGGTACGTGGTGCGGTTATCGAGTATCTTGTAATGTCTCCTTTCCGGGATCGATGTAGACAGCTGCGCAAATGGCGTCAGGCAGGGACTTGAAAACGAAAGAAAGGTACTCACGTCGATATCAACATGTCACGTACGTGAAAAGGCAAAGGCAAGTCGCTGTATTCTGCGAGGTTAAAGTCAAACGTTAATCTCTGAGACCATTGGGAGATTTGGACAAGTCCCAAGTAGACTGGGGACGCATTTGTATGCGGTGGGTCACGTGTCTCTTGCGTGTAGCGCAGAAGTGTCAAGGATACGTGATTGAGTGAATCTTGTGATGGCTCAATTCTGGAATGCAGCAGACAGCTACTAGCGAAAATGGCGTAGGTAGGGATACAAATCTTGTTTGAAAACCGATGATAACTCATATGAACTGTTGTCACGTACGGGAAAAGGGGAAGTCTCCACAGTCTGCGAAGCTCATCAGTGATTGAGGATATGATGAGGAGCGTTGATCCAATGAGCGGGGATAGGGAATGAAGGAACTGAGATACTAAGAATAAATGACGATGCAGCGACCAGAGCGCTCACCGGCGCTTACTTAAGTACTAGACCCGGTATAATTTCAAATGACCGATATAGCAAGGGCTGAACCGGCTCACAAAGGACGTCTTAGTGGAGTTGAAGACGGAACTACTACGATCAACTGTCAAGTTAAGCCTGTGCTGTAATTTCAGCTGATAGTGGACCTGTGCAAGGTACGATAATGAGCATTGATAGTCTTGGCCTAGTAGGTAACTTTGCAGGGAGAGTATGGATTGAATTATATGGTTTATTCAGGGTGGTATGTCGAGGATAGAGCTAGGATGAGGATGGATAAGATATATTCTTGTTTCTAGGAGAGTCTAGGTTAATTGGTTGTTAATGTCTCAGACAGAAGCGACGGAATCGGCTAGCCAAGTTTAGCCGTGAGTGCCTTGACTTTAATACGCAGCCGCAAAGCAGCGCCTCCATCAACTAGAAAAAATAATCGAGCGAGGAACGTCAAACGAGTTCATTGACCACCATCCGAATCTTCGAATCTAACGAAAGGCAACAGGACATGGCTTTGGAGGCACCTCAACCACAGAATTCAAGTCTAGTTCTAAATAATGATTCACCAACCGTACCACAACGGTCCACAGTGACCATTTTGGGATCCTTTCTACGTGGACGCCCAAGAGGAACTTCTACTTCACACCAATTAGATTTATCCCCCAATCGACGTACAAGCTTCGCACCACAAAACATACTCAGAAGAAGAGACACAAACAACGACCTACCTTCACTATCACCAACACCAACATCAACTTCACCCATGCCAGCACCACCCCTTCTCCGAGCAACAACCATCTCAAACCCAAACCCTGCAACCCACAGAATAAGACTAGTTCCCCACCTCGACAGTCGCCGCACACTCCGTTTCGAACCCATCAGCCGTGATATCAAAGACAATGACAGTCCCCTACGCATAGGTCGCTTCACAGATCGCTCAGGAATAGGTCTAGCAGCAGTAAACGCCCTAAACACCAACAAACTCGCTTTCAAATCTAAAGTCGTCTCAAGAGCACATGCAGAGATCTGGAGCGACAGCGGAAAATTCTATATCAAAGACACAAAATCTTCATCTGGGACTTTCCTCAATCATCTCAGGTTGAGTCCTGCCGGATCAGAGAGTAAACCCCATCAACTCAAAGATGGCGATATCGTTCAGCTGGGCGTGGATTATCAGGGCGGCACCGAGGATATTTACAAGAGTGTGAAGATTAGAGTCGAGGTGGGCAGAGAGTGGCAAGCTGCTCCTAATGCTTTCAAGTACGTCTTCTCTTCATCTCTATCTTGTTGATATTGACCTTGATCGCAATAGCACAAACGCCCTCTCACAACTCCGCTCCCTCTCCGCAGACCCACTCAACCAACCACAGCCACAAAGCACAATCGCACATGGCAAGAAACGCATGCCAAAGACCAACATCCCCGATTGTTGTATCTGTAAGCCTCCCTACTCCCCAGTTATACCCACGCTAACGATAAACAGGCCTCTTCGCAGTAACAATCCGCCAAGCCCTCTTCATAGCCCCTTGCTCTCACGCCTTTCACTACAAATGCATCCGCCCCCTCCTCGAAGCCCACACAAGCGCATTCAGCTGTCCCCTCTGTCGCACATTCGCAGATCTAGACGAAGACGTCGAAGTTGAAATCGAACCCTCTCCTTCTCCCTCCCCTTCATCATCACCAGAAGACGACGATGTCGAAGATGACGCTGCGTTGGCGCTGGGGAAATCGTTATCGCTAGCGCCTCCGATGGTACGAGACGGAGCTGAGACGGAGGTAGAGGGCGATGCGAGTTCGAGACCGCGTGTGAGAATACGGACCGCTGGGCACGTTTTACACCCGCATCCTCATCCGCATCTACCGGTGTCTGTATTGGAGGGCGAGGACGATCTTGACGAGGAGATGATGGATATGCTAGACGATGCGGATTCGGATGCGGGAGAGGGGGATGAAAGGAGTGGGAGCGGCAGTGGCAGTGGCAGTGCTGAAGGTATGGGCTTGAGCTTAGGCTTAGGAATGGGGGCGATGGTGGTTGATGGGGAAATGGTGAATGGGAAGCGGAAACGGTGACCGTTCCGTTCGCCTCATGCCTTCATCCTTTTACTCTCCACTGTATCCTTCCATTTCATCTCATCGTTCTGTTCCATAATGACCCCCAGGAAGGACCAATATTGTTCATGATATCAAGGGATTCGTTTTGTATATTTGGCGCGCATGGGTTATCGCACTTTTTACATATGAGCGGTTCTATACATACATCTTTCTTTCCTTCCTTCCTTCTTTCCTTCCTTCCTTCTTTCCTTTCCTCGTTGTTTTTCTTTTTCTCCTTCAGTTCCACTCATCTTATTATACTCGCATGTCTCGATATCGAAGATTCTCTTTTCAATGTCACACTAATGAAACCATCGCGTTGTTGCAACACTGTCTTTCTTTTTCTCCTCTCTCCTCTATACTCTTTCCTCATCGCCTAGCTTCAAGTCTGATGCATACTATGAGTGGTTACCGGTGAACATCGAGTGTGATACCTAATCGAACACGATACGGTATACCCCCACTAGCCGCGATGCAAGGCGGGCGGTCACGAGTCTGATGTTCCACGTTACCAGCCGCCTTGCACGACGATGACAAATGACTCGTCGAGGATCCGCTGTGGGTGGGAGGAGTTGGGGTGGGGTATTGCAATGTAATCCATCATTCGTCATGCAAGGCAAGACAAGACAAGGCGGCGTAACGATCCCAAGATCCGTCCCGTTTCTGTAAAGTGACCTCCTATCTCACCGGTGGAAAAATACCGAAAAGCGACCGGGAGGAAGAGGATAACCAGAAAGAGGGCGCGGTCCAACCGTTAGTGTAGACAATATTGGTATGGCTAGGGTGGTGGTACGGATCGTTATCGTGCGGAGAAGCATGAAACCAGTGCGTATAGTACTAATACTTATTTATGACTGCGAGAGAAGCAGGAGTCAAGAGCAACAGCGACATTTTTTATAGATCACTTGTGATGCGCATTTGCATCGAATCGCTGATGACGGTTCTGGGATTTGATGAAGGATCTCGTCGAGAGAAGCAGAGAGGGGAAACTGTCCATATGACATCGGCGCGAGTAGCGTGTAGTATATTGATGTGGCTGGAGAGGTACGGTTTTTTATCGTGCGGGATAAGCAAGTAAATCAGTACGCGCGTACGCACCATCCATGCCCGAGTCAACATTTATGTAAGCCAGTAACATACCATCGATACTAACCGGAGAAACCTTGCAAACATACGACCCTATCATATATTTGAAGCCGTATTGATGACTCACGTGACTGAGCGCCACAAAGCCAAATAAGGAGGACAAATTCGATGCCAAGTTGCCAACCTCGCAGGTGTAACACCGGAGAAAAAAAGATGTGTTGAAGAGAACGAACACAGCGCATGGCAAGCAAGGTTTCTGCCGACGGCAGTCGGCGCTTTCCCGAGTACGGGAGTGATACATGGCGGGCGTTTATACTTAAAGGGGGCAGTGATGATGGAAGAAGCGAAAATGAAATAAAATCCACGCCGTAGCAGCGTGGTACGGAAGAACCCTGAGGCCTTGAGGCTCCCAGATAAGCGCCTACATTAGGTGGTTCATGGGCAGAAGTCCAACACTGCTCACCACCCACAAGATCCACAAGGTGACGATATTTTAAACGTACGATGTGGCACGTCGACTTCGAATGCTACTGACGTCTGTCTGTCTGTCCAGATCAACGCGAGATGTCAGGGGGGGTGCCTGATGCAGCAAGAGAAGCTGATCTCACTTTGAGAAGACATCCTGTGCTGGCGCAGACAACGGAAGGGCAACTGACGCTAACGCGGATGATACAAGGGCATACCCAGGGCGTTACAGGATTCGCATTCTTCAATGATAGTCGACGGGTCGTCACTAGTTCACTCGATAAAACCCTGCGAATTTGGGACATGGAGATGGGAGCATCGGTAGGGGCGCCATTCAAGGGACACAAGGACAGGGTGAAATCAGTGGCGATATCACCAGACAACAAGCGAATTGCGAGCGGTGGAGATGATAGAACCATCATCATCTGGGACGTCGAGAGCAAGCAGATGGTATTCGATCCACTGGTGAAGCATACGGACGAGGTGCACTCGGTGTGCTTCTCCCCTGATGGCAAGAGACTCGCAAGTGGGTCGAGTGATTTCACTGTTGTTTTATGGGATGGAGAGACTGGCGGTGTCCTCGCAACACTCAAAGGTCATCATGCTTCGTTGTGCAGTGTCGCATTCAGCCCAGATGGGCTGAAATTAGCCTCCGGATCATGGGACTGTACGATTCTGGTTTGGGGAACCTACAACGCCACGCTTCTTCTCAAAATCAACGCTCACCAACATTTGGTTCGAATGATTGTGTGGTCGCCTGACGGTCAGCAACTTGTCTCCACGTCTTGGGACAAAACAGTCAAGTTCTGGAACTCGTCTAATGGAGACCAAATCGGTCAGCCCTGCACTGGTCACACTCAATACATCTCCGCGCTCGCCATCTCATCTGATGGTTCTTTCATCGTCACTGCCTCGGATGACACAACTGCGCGGCTGTGGAGCACAAAGACGCACCAGCACATAGGTCAGCCGCTCAAACACACCACGAGCATTTGGTGTCTCGCGATTTCTCCCAATCGAGAACTGCTTATCGGTGGAGATAGCGACGGAAAGGTGCTGGTCTGGTCTATCAAGGAGATAGAAGTACGCTATCACCCATTATTTTGTGGCCTGTCTGTTCATTCATATTGCTTTTGGCGGCGATACATGGTAGCTGCGCAGCCATGACATCAATGGGCTCTCTAGCAATGATGGTGCAAATCCCCATTCTTCGCAACAAGTGTCAGGCTGTGATGACAAACACTCATTATTTGACGTGAGCTCCCTTCGATTCATCTACTTATCAGGGAACATGAGCTTGGTTCATGCAGATTCTTGATATAAACACGACGCTTCGCAATGCATGCATTACTGGGAACCTTCAATGTACCGCTGAAGACTTGCTGACCCAAGAGATCGACGCGGATGACAACAACCATAACTCCTATGCCAATCGTTCTGTTGTAAGGGCGCGAAACTCCGAGTGGGACAAGGCACTTCAGGACTCAGCCAAGGTCAGATGCGCTGCTTATCATGATGCATTAACATCAAATTTACTTGGTGGCACAGTCCATTTCCATCCAACCCTCGTTATTGGGCTACGTTTCCAAGGGCATCGCCCTCTGCGGTAACGAACAGCTCTCAGATGCGATGGAAGCTTTCCATCTCGCTTTTGTATGTTCGGATCATGATCTTATTACCACCGATCTTTTACGATTGATCGAGGTACTGTTCTCGCTGTTTTCTTAGTTAGTCAGTCATCCTAAGACTTCGATTTTTGTCCACACTGGTGCAATTTTCAATGCCAATTGCCACGATGAGGCAACGCGGCGAGTTGAAGACCTCGCCACCGCGTATCAGCGCTCAGATGCGCTTCTCTGCAGTGTTCTGAATGTGAGCTTTATCTCGGACCTTACGAGTTCTCTGACTCTCGAGCATGTTCGTCAGTTTTATCTACGTGTGCAGCTTGCAATACGCGCTTTCGAGGACGGGCGGTACAGCGAAGCCGCCGATCGATTCGACGATATCATTCCCAGTGTAACCGACTTGTTCGCTCGCAGAGCACTTTTTGAATCTAGATTGAAGATCTTCACGGCGGTGCGTCACTACGTTGGCAAGAGCACACTTTCACTGATTCATGATGTGTTGGACAGCTCTTCGGCTAGAACTTGGATTCGTTATGGCAAACTGTCAACCAGAGGCGCTGCGACGCATGCCTCCGTGCTGATCGAGTGATTGAAGCTGTCAAATCTCATCAATACATGATGGGCATGATTGATGAAGATGCGAAGGACAGCTACCACGAATGGTTTACCGGTGAGTGCTTTTGGGTCGTAGACAACTCGAACATGAACACTCACTCTGGGGTCATTTAGCCTTCAAGAAAGACTGTACCGCGCGATGTCTCGCCAAGGGAGACGAGGCTGTTATTGCGGGCAATCACAAGGTGGCTATTGAACTATATTCGGCAGGAATTGGGCTTGACCCATCATGCGAGTCCCTCTTTACGCACCGCAGTAAGGCACATCTAGAACAAAACCTCTATGTAGAGGCCCTTCACGACGCGGAACAAGTGCGCACGATATTCATCGTTTTTGTGGCAATTGTGCTTATACTGCCAATGCACAGATGATCAAACTCAACCCTTCTTCTTATCTGGGGTACGAACTAAAGTATGCGGCACTACATGGCGCACAGTACTATGATGAAGCAATCGAAGCTTTCAAAACCATGCTCAGGAAGTTGAACGAGGCGCCCGGCGCACAGATACAAAGTAAGCCCGAACCTCTCATACGTCAACGTGAAAATCATGAAAACCTTCTGCAGAGCCGCGTCAGCAGTATCTCAGTCCATCTGATGTTGAAGACATTATTCGACGAGCCATTGATGATAAACTGGAAAATGCTCCGCTTCGTTTAATTAACACCTTCACTGGGCGTTTATGCAATCGAGAGGCACAGATCCACGCCTTCATGGACAGCACAGAGTACAAAGAGATTTTATCTTCATCTCTGATGCATGCATCCCTCCAAACAGAGCCCATCAAAGAAGCAGTCGAGAAATACTTCAGTTGGGCCATGTTATCACATAGGTGGGAAAGCAAGGAGCCACTGCTGCATGACATCCAGGACAAGGTCGTGTACAATTTGGACGCAGTCGGCACCATGGTGAAGTTGCAGATGTTCTGCAAAATTGCTCGTGATGCAGGGCACCGCTGGGCATGGAGCGATACTTGCTGCATCGACCAGAACAACAATGCCGAGCTCCAACGATCGGTGAACTCCATGTTTGTCTGGTATCGTCAGTCAGCTCTTACGATCATATACGTTTTGGATGTTCCGCCTTCAGCACAGTCAGGCGCACTCGCAAACAGTGTTTGGAACACGCGAGGATGGACTGTTCAGGAGTTCCTCGCTCCTAATGTCGTTCTCTTCTACGGACAAGGCTGGAGCTTATATCTCAACGACTGCTCTCCCAACCACAAGGAGTGTGCCGCTATCATGAAGGAGTTAGAGGATTCGACAGGCATAGATGCACAAGCCCTCGTCTCTTTCCGTCCAGGGATGACAGGCGCGCGCGAGAAATTGCAATGGGCATCGACGCGCACCACGACCTTGCAGGAAGACATCGCATATTCATTATTTGGCATTTTCGGCATTCACCTTCCTGTCATCTATGGCGAGATGAAGCAGAATGCGCTCGGTCGCCTCTTGCAGGCGATCATTGCTCAGTCGGGCGACATTTCTGCCCTAGATTGGGTCGGCAAATCATCGCAGTTCAATAGCTGTCTGCCAGCTGAGATTTCCTCTTACAAATCTCCGCCATTCACGTCGCCATCTTTGTCTGAACAATACATACAGACGTCGGTCTTGTCGCTGCGAAATGCCACCGTCGTGGAGCAGGCTTTGACACTGTATACCAAGCTTGCCGACCTCAACCCTCCTCGTTTCGCGGACCGCAGGCTGCAACTGCCTTGCATCGCATTCCCCCTCACAGCACTGAGACAGAGGCGTAGTCAAGACCCGCAGACATGTTTCACTTATGATGTTGAGGCAGATGGTCTTCAAGACCTGCTAATCAACACGGAAGACAAGCTCATTCAGTTCTCGTCAGCACGGCCCACTCAGCAGACATTCTTCCTCGTCCGTCCGTGGAATCGTCATGATCTCGGGCTACTTGACTTTGCAGATGAAACGCAGAGCATGGATGAAACCGGGTCTGCATCAGATGGATCTCTCGGCAGTTCTCCAAGAGGCAAGAAGCCAGCTAATTCAAAGTCTCACTCGCGAGCGTCAAAGTTAATCGCTCGCCTTCGACAGCCTTTTGGCTCACTTCTGCCCATGCAGCAGCATGGTGGGAAGTACAAGAATTCAGCGTCTCACTCGCGAGCGTTAAGGTTGATCGTTCGCCTTGGGCAGCCTTTTGGCGCACTTTTGCTAGCACAGCAGCATGGTGGGGAGTATAAGAGAATCGCGTCGGATCACAATATCATTGCGCAAGTCAAGGACAAGACTGCTGTTCGTGACATGATGGATGCCAGGACACTAGAGATATTGTAGTTGCATGGAGTTTGAAACACGGAGATCTCGGACGCATTTTCATTCATACCGTAGGCGCTCGTCGTATTTGTATTGCACACTGACCTACTTACAATTACCACTGCGATTGTATTATCGAATCATTGCTGACCACACCAGCTGAGGATGTGTTTTTTGTCCATCCTGCTACGTCGAGTCACTCAATGAATGTCCAGTGTGATTTCGATGTTTGGGATGCGAAGGCGAGAGTGAACATGGGTTCCAAGCATGGGTCGTTCTCGTGCACTGGTCCGTCGTGGACGTGGGTGAATATTTGGGTCAGGCTTTCACCGCCACGAGTAGCCAGCTGAATCCTGTAAGGAGAGTCTTGTTCCAAGCGTGCCCAAGAAAAATGTATAAAGATGATCCACGATGTACATGGGATGTGGGGATGACATGAGGGAACATACATATGCGAAGACGGTCCATGCCATCACCGACCAATAGCTACTGCAACTTCATCGGAAGTAACTCACGACGCCCAACCATAGAACGATAGCCAACAGACACGTCATGCCAGCCCTTCGCGCGTCCCTCACGATGAAAACGATGTCCAAGATCAGTGCAACCGTGCCAGCCACCGCAAGAGACATTGAGAGGCTCGAATACGGAAAGACTACATAGTAAACACCTAAATAAAACATCAAGATTCAAAACGTCAGCACGGAACTCTCAGCTGGATCGAAGAGGTACACTTACAACTCGCCATACACCCTCAAGTTAAAACAAGAGCAAGGTTTCCCGTGCGATAGAGAACGAGGTTGATCAAGATCGCACGACGCGTCACCTTGAACGGCTTCTAGGTCTACAGTCAATGTCAGATCACTACACTCCGGAAAACTGCCTACCTTGGAATAGAAAAAATGCAGTGTGCAGTCTATTTGGGCCAATATGAATTATCAAACTGGCGCCAGGGAAAACCACGTGTACGCCAAGGTCGCCAGCACTCGATCATTCACTTTGGATGTACTACGATCGAGGGCTCGGAAACATACTAGTAACACTGAGCATAGAGTAGTCACGAAGCGGACTAGGTCTTGCTATATATAAGAAAGTCAGTCTTGCAAGACAGAATGTGAAACCAGTCTCTGCTTACTACGACTGCATGAAGAGCAACGACGACATTTACAGTATTACAGGTCGCTTGCAATGCACATCTGGATCCACAGCGATCGCTGATAATGGTTCTGGGTTTTGATCATCGATAGAAGCAGATAGGGGAAACTGTCCACATGAAATCTGGCGCTAGTAGCGTAGACAATATTGATATTGGCTGGGGATCTGCGCATCGTCATCGTGCAGATAGGCAAGTAAATCAGTACACACCACGCATGCCTGCCATCATTGATGTAACATCCCATCGACAACCGGAAGTAATTAGACACGAGCGCCGAGCGATTGTTATATATAGTCCCCGTAGCGAAGTAGGGCGCGTTACAATGGATGATGAAAGACGAGTCGAGTGGAAGCAATATATGGCTGCGGAGTGGACTGTGGTACATGGTAGTACCAGATGCACGCGGGTTCGTTGTGCACAGAATAGAGGGCTACTGCTACGTACATGACGGGTGTTTATAAAGGGAGCAGTGATGGAAGCAACGAAATTGAAATGAGATCCACGCCGTAACAGCGTGATATGGAAGAACGCTGGATCCATGAGTGAGCATCAGTAAACCGGTGAGACCCAGATATTGTAGTATTTTGTAAGCCCAATGCTTCTTTCCTGTACATTTGGGAGTATCGGTGGCTCACCGGTTTACTGATCTTGAAGCGCCTATGGTGCGGTTCACTTAGAGGCCGCTACTTTTGTCCAAGCGCCAAATCGAGTCATCAACAATGACAGATATAACCCTAACCCTAATATGAGACGTAAATCCTAGCTACAGAAGGTACACCAGCTTCGATGATCGTGAACTGGGTGTCATTGCTTGCTTGAATAATGTTTGAAAGTTGGAACGAGTTGCGATGTGATCAGTATTACTTGAAAATGGCCAACGGGCACCAGAAAGCAGCAGCAGCTCGTGCAAGAGCTGCAAGGCTTGTGAGAAAAGCTCGAACATCCTCCGATAACGCATGTCCACCTCATGGTGCACCACCAATCCTCTCGCCAGAGTCGCCACCCATTGCAGCTGAATCCAAGTCTGAGTCTGAATGTGGGTATGATGGTGGTGTCAATTGCATATGGTCGGAGCCTGACTCACATACCGCTGGTGAACACGAGCCCTCTGACAATGAAAGAATGTCAGACGCAGATGAAAGCTTGGAGGAATTGGAAGGAACAGACCTGGAGGAAAATCTGAAGGCTCTCAGAGATGATGTCAAAAGCGGTGTGAAAAGTGGATATACAAAGGTAGCTGCACCGAAGATTGTTGAGATCTGGCAAAAGGCAGATGCTTGCTGCCACAAGCACATCCTCAAGCTCCAGGCTGACTTTCAAGAACAAAAATCCCTGGTGCAAGAGGTCATTGAGTCAGTGGGCCACCTGTGCATTTTTTTGCCAAAGTTTCACTGTGAGTTGAACTTGATTGAATATTTCTGGGGACAGGTGAAGAAATATCTTTGCAACAACTGTGATTACATGTTCGACACCTTGAAGGACAACATGCCCATAGTGCTCGCATCAGTGCCACTCCAAACCATCCAGTGGTGGGAACATTGAATGTACAGGTGGATGGATGCATACAGGATGGGACTCGGGACTGCTGATGCACAGCTGCAGGTCAAGAAATTTAGTTCAAGACAGTACAAATCTCACAGATGTATTCCAGATGCAGTGGCACAGGCTTTTGATGAGTAGTACACATACTATTTACCAATGCACTAGTGCTGCCGGAGTCCGGTTCGGAACTTCGGTTCGAATGTGAACCCTTCCGAACCGGACCGTCCGTTCGGTCCGAGGTTCGACCTACTGTAGGGACCGAACCTATTATTAGGTTCGGCGTTCGGCTGATGCCTCAAATTAGCGAACCTGTCCGGACCTGTCCGAACGCGTTCGAACCGTCCTTGCTTCTGTCTATGAACCGCTTGAGGTCCTCAGGCTTATTGCTATCCATCTATACTAATATTTTCTCTGATCACCTGGCAACAAACTCATATGGCCATTGTCAGTCCTGGGAACATTGATCTCCAGAACGGCTCTTACTTCACGACCAAAACACTGAATGCATTTCTATTAGTGACGTCTGACTTCCTCGGTGATCTACTCGACATTTCGGTAAGCCCAATGTTAATCGTTATTAGGATTATAATTTAATTTATGTTCAGAACATATTTTTGGGATGCTCATTCCGGTACTTGCTTCAACATCAATCAAAATATGTTCAAGGTGCGTCACCTTTTTCTGATCTCTTACCACAAATCTTGGTATAAATGGCCTACTACAGGTACAATATTCACCCTTCTGGCTGCGAGAATGTTGTGCGCACTTGGATGTGATCGCCAACTCAAAGACGCTAGTGCCATTGATTGGTACAATGACCCGGATGATGACACCCCCATGCGTGCACCACCTCCGCTTCCTGCATCCAATGATCGATCAACTGTCGCAGTCATTGCATGGCAACAATATGTTCAAGGTGCGTCATTTTTTTGATCTCTTATCACAAGTTTTGGTATAAACGAGCTACTAACTACAGGTTCAATCTCCACCCTCCTTGCTGCACAAATCCATGTGTGGAAGTGGTATATTCAAGGTGCGCTAGTATAATTATATGTTACGGTTTGCGGTCTAAATATCTACGTTAGGTCCAATATCCACCCTTCCTATGTCGTGTGCACTTAGACCTGACGGCCAATTGAAAGATGCTAAGGACATCGAGTGGTACAACGACCCTGACGACGATTCCCCCATGCCCCCTTCGCCACCTCCTGCCACATCCAATGGTAAGATCACTGCATTCGTGTCCCGTCGCTCGGGACGAGCCATTAAACCAACGGAGAAGATTTGTGACGCTGTCAACGGCGCTCCAGCAAAGCGACCAGCACCAGCAACTCCTGAGGGTCGGCCTGCACCCAAACGAATTCGAGAAGAACCCCCTGCCACAGAGGGACTTTCAGACGAGGAGGAGGAAGAAGACAGAGAGGAAGCTTACGAAAGGACAAAGGCATTGGGGGATGAGGACCGCGAGCATCGCAAGCTGACGAAGAAAGATGAACGCAGTGCGGACTTAAAGACAATCTTCACACAAGAGAGGGGCCGTATGAACCCTCACACCCAAGAACGCGAGGATGGTTGGTGGTGTGAGGTATGCAGGTAAGTCTCAATGTTAAAATAATCTCCGCACTGAACTAACATCAAGTCCAGAGGCAATGATGTACCATCCGGGCAGTGTTTTTTTAAAGGCAGTATCTCAACCTGCCGCACCCACATCGCACGCAATCCAAAATGTCACTTCCCCCTTTACCGAGACCGCTGCAAGGAACGCGGAATCACAATGCATGATCGTGCCATCCCTCTTAACTCGAAATCAACCGACGGAGTTCAACACACATTACACGCCTCGCTTGCACCTAAGGTTCCTGAGTTCACGAAGTCCGGCCTGATGGACTATATTGTTGAGCTCATTGTCTCTGAAGATGAGGTGCGTGGTTGTGATCTTTTGTTTCGTGTGATTGTGACTTAAGATACTTATACTAGGCATTCCAACTCGTCAATAAGGGTCCGTTTCGTCGCCTCCTTCAATACCTTCGGCCCTCCCTGTCGGATAAGGATATCCCCCATCGCACGAAGACTCGTGATGAAATACTCGAACGTGCCAAGCTTGCCGTGCAACGCATCAAAGAGAAGCTTAAGAACGTCGACAGCAAAATTTCCGTCACTTTCGACTCCTGGACGTCTGAACCTGGCGTGCCTTTCCTCTCTGTCACTGCACATTATATTGACTCCCAAGACGGTAAGCCTCAGGAGTGGGAGCTGAAGAGCGAGCAGCTCGCATTCACGATCATCAACGGCAACCATAGCGGTAGCAATATTGGAAGGATTTTTATTGAAACTATCAATAACTACGACTTTCGCACCAAGGTTGGATGGTTCACAGCTGACAACGCCACCAATAATGATACGGCAATTCAGACTGTTGCACTCGCTATTGACCCTTCTGGTAAGGAATGGGTTGCAGGAGAGCACCGTGTACGGTAAGGCTTATATTTATATCACATTCTATTATATGCTAATGTCTTTTCAGTTGTATGGAGCACGCCCTACATCTGGCTGCCAAACACTTCGTTGAAGAGGTTGCGCCTACCCCTGCAAGTGTTCTCATCAGGAACGAGACCAACGACGATGACGACAATGAAGTGACTGACTTCAATGTTGCTGATACTGTGGGCAAAGCCCTTGCGCTTGTTGGGCAGGTAAGTTTGTGCCTCGTCTGATTAGCCTTGCTTTGACTAACTGTTTATTTAGGTACGGAAATCTCCTCAAGCCCGTACTTTCTTCCACAAGTGTTGCGCTGAGGTCAATGAACCCAACCTCGAGCTTTTGAAATGGATCCGCACTCGGTGGGCCTCACTGTTTGGCATGTTGGAGCGCACCCTCAAGTTGCGTAAGGTATATTTACCGCTACTGTCCCTACAAACAATTACTAACTCTATCGGCAGGGTGTGAATAGATTTATACAGCTCGCAGATGATAGTGACGAAGTTCCGAACCTGCAGGGCAAGTCCTATGGCACATTCAAGCTCTTGGCCGAGGAATGGAAGAAGTTAGAGTTGATGCATGACGTGCTTCAGGTGCGTGCTTGTTCATTGATGAGTTTAATTTTTATTAACTTATTGCATTACCAGGAGCCTGCAAATGCTCAGCAATCGTTCTCTGCGACTCGCGAACCCACGGTATGGCGCGCGATCCCGGTGCTTGAATTCCTCCAACAAACCTGGCAAAATATGGCCAGGTCTTCGAAGTTTGCCGACTTTTCAACCGCCATTGAGTCTGGCATTGACAATCTTTGTAAGTGGTACCATAAGATTGATGAAACCGACGTCTATTTCATTTGTCTCGGTACGTGTTTTGATTAACGTAAAGCCCTATCTAATGCGTTGTATCTAGCGCTTGACCCCAACTACAAGATTGCGTATGCCAAGAGTAAATGGGAGCCCCGCGACTTCGAGAAGGGCATGAGATGCCTGCAGATCGTTTTCGACAGATACCATCATCACAATTCCTTGCCGGACGCAGAGCCTGCTGTCGTGGCTCCTTCCTGTCTTGCACGCCAAGGCTCGTATGGCCACAGCTGGATGCGCGACGCTGTCAAATCCCGCATTGCGAGTGACACTGCAAGCCGAAGGCCTCGTCAAGAGCTCGAGGACTACCTGGCTTCCCCGCTAGAGGATATCGAGAATGTAGTAGCTTGGTGGGGCGTGAGTGTTTTTTTTTCGAATCCCTATTCCTTACAAGTTAACATAAATGTTCCTTAGCATCATTCAATTCAATATCCCACCATCTCACACATTGCAAAGGACTACCTCGCTATTCAAGGCTCTGCCGTGGCATCTGAACGAGCATTTTCGAGCGGCGGCATCACTGGGACCACACGGCGCAACTGTTTGTTGCCGACAACGTTTGAGGCACTTCAGTTGTTGAAGAGTGGATATCGTCAAGGCCACATATCTGCAACGGCTCAAGCTGCGTTCGCCGCTGCTTGTGAATACCCTGACATGGATATCGTGTAGCTACTGTACTCATTTACGTCGAATTTTTTCATGTATTTCCTGCATTTTTTTTGAATTTATACATAGCGTTCGGATGTTCGAACGCGTTCTGAACTCGAACCGAACGCTTCTGAACGCATTCGCAAGGGTCCAGTTCAACGTTCACCCTCATTGCCTGAACCTGACCAATGGTCCGGTTCAGGGTTCACATTTAGAGGCCCATGAACTGAACCGAACCGGACTTCGGCAGCACTACAATGCACCAATTTGGGGTGCCCAAAAATAAAATAAAAATCTTGCTCAAATTTGACCCAATCAAAAATCGCTCTTGGGGTTTTATTCAACACATCAAAAGCAATATCTTCCCAAGAGGAATTGAAAAACTGACAAAATTTGAGTGTGGGAAAACTTTTGGACAAAAGTAGCGGCCTCTGGGTGAACTGCACCATACATAAGTTGGGTCACGGGCAGGGGTCCATCACTACTCAACACCCACAAGATCCCCAACAGAAGGATATACTAAACGTACGGTCCACGTCAACTTCAAATGGTACTGACCATCCATCTCTCTGCCTAGGTCAACACAATATGTCAGGGGTGCTGGATGTAGCAAAAAATATGTATCTCACTTTGAGAGGGCAGCTCACGCCAACACGGATGATGAATGGGCATACAAATGGTGTGGCAGCAGTCGCGTTCTTCAAAGACAGTCGACAGGTCGTCAGTGGTTCATGGGATGGAACCCTGCGAATTTGGGACATGAAGAAAGGAGTATTGGTAGGAGGGCCATTCAAGGGACACAAGGACAAGGTGCCATCAGTGGCCGTATCACCAGATGACAGGCGAATTGCGAGCGGTGGAGATGATAAAACCATCATCATCTGGGACGTCGAGAGCAAGCAGAAAGTATTCGAACCGCTGGTGAAGCATACAGACACGGTGGTATCTGTGTGCTTCTCACCCGATGGCAAGAAACTTGCAAGCGGGTCGGATGATTCGACAGTTGTTGTATGGAATGCAGAGACTGGCGCTGTCCTCGCAACACTCAAGGGTCATAGTAATTACGTGCTGAGTGTTGCATTCAGCCCAGATGGGCTAAAATTAGCCTCCGGATCATCGGGCGGTTCCATCCGGGTTTGGCGCACCGATAACGCCGAGCTTCTTCTCAAGTTCAACGCTCACCAACGTCAGGTTCAAAGTGTTGTGTGGTCGCCTGACGGCCAGCAACTTGTCTCTGCATCATATGACAGCACAGTCAACTTCTGGAATTCGTCCAATGGAGACCAGATCGGTCAACCTTGCACCAGTCACACTTCCTACATCTTCTCGCTCGCCATCTCGTCTGCCGGCTCCTTCATTGCCACTGCCTTGGGTGACAGGACTGTGCGGCTGTGGAGCACAAAGACACACCAACACATAGGTCATCCACTCAAACACACCACGCGCATTTTGTCTGTCGCGATTTCTCCCAATGGAGAACTGCTCGTCAGTGGAGATTGCACAGGAAAGGTGCTGCTCTGGTCTATCAAGCAGATACTTGAGCAACACAAGGCGGGAGAACGAACAAAGGTCAATGAAGGAGCACGTCGACAGCAACTCCTTGTTCTCAGTGACACACAGGTATGCTATCACCCATATCTACTATTGTAAGAACGGGGCGTTTGATCCCACGGAACCAATTCGTGTAGCCGCCATGTGCGCGGTCCACATGAGCCCTTTGCCTTGGGCGTGTGTTCCACTTGAGCTCCTATTGCTGACGCTGTTCTGACACCATCTGCGCCGCATCCAGTTTCAAGTGATCGAGCCCCTGTAAAGTGTTCTCCTTTCCTCCGTAGCTGCGCTGTTTTCGTACCCTATAACTGACGCTGTTCTGACACCATCTCGGCCGCATCCTGTTTCAAGTGATCGAGCACCTCTAAAATGTTCTCCTTTCCCCTTAATGCTCTCCTTTCCTCCGTGGCTGCACTGTTTTCGTACCCTTTCTCTCTCAATTATCATGGCGTCCTCCTGCTCTTTTCACGGTATTGTTGGAATCCAAAATGCAACTCCTTACTCTCTTGACAAGAAGCGGTTTTGGAAAATGGATGCCTTCATTCCTCTTCCTCTAGAAGCAGATGACAATGGCAATGATCTTCCGGCCACTGTTTTCACTTTCGGTGGCAGAACTCCACCACCTGATGATGGTGTTTATTTCATCAATGCTCGCCTAATCACCGCATTAGCTGGTGATGAGACTGCTCTCGAACTCTATTGCGTCGACGTGGGTCATCTTTGAATTCTCTCTTATACATGTTCATTCGCTGACTTTTTTTTCGCAAGGAGATCCAATCATTGGATGGTGGTCGTGCACTACCCTCTGTCCTTATTGCAGGCAAAGTGTCACGAGGCTCTTCCGAACTACCGGAGGATCGTATGTTTGACATTGATGTCATGCAATACAGTGTCATGCCTCAACAAATGGCTCGCATTTGTTGTTATTATCCCCCTTCACATCCTCGCCTTGATCGGACTCCTGTGCCTACGGCGGAAAAACATGTGATCATTCAGGGTGCAATTACCGAAGTTGACCACAAGCGTTGCTTGGTGTCCGTGCACGATATTACACTCGGTCCATCCACTAGTGTTGTCGACAGCCGCAGGCACTGAGAAACTGCACCGTCTGCTCAACTGAAAAGCTTCAATTGGACTGGCAAAAGCAAGAAAAGCAAGCGTGCATCCCACGGTAATTCTGATGAAGAATCTGATTCTACCCGTCACAAGAAAGGGAAGAAGCGGCAGGTAGTTGCTGCAGAGAATATTAATGAGGAGGCAGGTCCATCTACGAAAACAGATTGAATTGATTTATGCTTGAACTTTGTACATCTTCTCGATCCTATTTTTATGCCACCCCTCTGGGTTTGTAAGCACGATTTTCACTCTGTCGATCAAATTTGTATCTATTCGCATCTACGAACTGCTTGCTTTTGTCAACATGTCCCTCATACAAGATCGGAAACGGGAACTCGCGAGACGTGCTCGCAGCAATCCTAAATTTCGAGAGCACGAAAACCGCCTGTGGCGTGCACATTATAATCAACATCATGCTCTGCATCATCAATTGAACGGTCTGTCAATGTTATCATCGTCATCCCTTCCTTCCACTAACTTTCCACTAGAGTCTTTGTCCCCTTTGACGTCACCCGCTTTATCACCGACTGCATCATCCATTGTACAGCGTCCTGCTATTGAACGTCCCACCCCTTGGTGGATCCTACTTTGTAATTATCCTCCATCACCGATCATTCCTCCCACGTGGAATCATCGTTGCCCTCACTGCAATGCTCTTCTCCTGTCGACTGAGTCAAACTCATTTTGCTGTGGCAATGGAGCACGCATATTGCCTGCTTTACACCCACTCCCTCCACGCATGCGCAGTTTGTTTGATGAACCCATACGCCTTCGACATGTCATCGAGTTTTGTCGCGTCATCAACAATTTTTTCTCCTTTGCTGGCATCGGCGTCAGTGGTGGTTTTCAGCAGTTCAATTCGGGAGGTAGCGCGGGTCCTCCAGCTGTTGCTATTACAGGCTGTACTTATCACCTTATTCGTGACACTGAATATGCAGATCACTCCATCCACTGGTTCTTATACGACGAAAGAATGCGCCAGCAGAAAGCTCAGGATTTCGGTGTGCATGCCACTGTTATTCAAGCCATTACGGACGACATCAATGCCGTCAATCCCTATGTTCATCACTTACGACAGTTTCGACCTCGCTCACACCACAAACGACAGCTTGAATTAAAAGACTTTTCTTCCAATGGTGACTTTGCTGCTGTTATGCATGCGGCAAATTCAACAGATATCAACCCTTGGTCGGTCGTCATTCGTCGTAAATCACGCGCTCAGCCAGAATTCTTAAACATTCTCTCCCGCCACTACGAACCACTGCATTACGTGCTGTTTTTCCCTCAAGGAGAGATGGGTTGGGGTCTGAGTCAAATTGATGGAGTGCCGAATTTATCGCAAGTAGACTGGTATCGAAGTCGTCTTTTGGTGGATGAAGAAGATCGATTCAGCATCTTTGGCCGACTTTGTTGCAAATACTTGGTGGATATGTACTCAAGAACGGAAGAACAGCGCCTCACTTATATAGCGCATGAACGCCAATTACGTGCTCATGAAGTTCAACAGAATAACGATGATACAGAAGAGATCGAGTCATCCATCAAACTTCCAGCGAGTTTTGTGGGCTCTCATTCATGGACCTCGCAGCAAGCTGCAGATGCCATGGCTTTAGGTCGGAAATTTGGAAAGCCGACCTTCTTTTGCACCATGACCTTCAATCCTGACTGGCCGGAAGTTAGGGCTCGCCTGCGACCTGGTCAATCGGCCAGTGACATTCCAATTGTTGTTGCTCGCGTATTCAAGTCACGACTAGAAAAAGTTTTACACGTCCTTCGCACTCGCTTCGGAGAGAAAAAATACATCATAAAAGTTATTGAGTTCCAAAAGCGAGGGTTTCCTCATGCTCACATCATCATCAAAGTGTGCATATCATACTCAGTTGACTTCAAACACTCATATTTGGACAAACTAGGTCCATCCCAAAATTCCATTCGAGGAATTGGACACCATCATCAGTGCTGAACTTCCCCGTGATAATCCTGCCCGACGAGAGAAAGTACAACGATACATGATGCACAGCCGAGACCATCTCTCTCGCGCAGGTAGCCGGTGCAATCGTGATGGGAAGTGCATCTATGACTTCCCACATCCTGTACAACCAACCACCACTGTTGATGAAATGGGTCGCGTTCACTGGCGTAGACGTAGCGAGGAAGACATATGGGTCGTGCCCTACTGCAAACCTTTGCTTGACTTCGCAGACTGTCATTTTCATTTTGACGTCGTTTACACAGCGAAGGTCTTCAGTTATCTTTACAAATACCTCTACAAAGGATCGGATCGTGCCTTTTTCAGCATGCAAGATCATGACGATGCAATGCCACAGCAACCGGTACCTGTCAATGAGATCAACGACTATCAAAAAGCTTGCTATCTATCCGCACCAGAAGCTGCTTGGCGGATTCTCGGATTTGAAATCACACGCAAAGAGCCATCTGTCCAGTGCTTGCCCGTCCATTTGCCAGGAGGAAACACTCCTCAATTTCGACATCGAGGAAATCGGTCAACTGCATCGCTTTTGGACCGCTATTTTCTTCGACCAGCTCATTTAGCACATTTCCGGTACGAAGAATACTACGAGGAATACATACTCTATCCCTTTTCGCCAGGTGAACACCTCAATGAACATGAATGTCTAGAACAGTGGAATCCTGGAGTCATCCAACGAAAAATCAGGCGGAGACAGCAAACCGACAAAATCGCTCGCATCGACACTGTTCCTCTGCGCAGCGGAGAAGTATTCTACCTCCGCAGTCTTCTGCTTTATAAATCCGCTTCATCTTTTAAAGACCTGCGTACCATCAATGGACGAGTTTTTGATACATTCCACGAAGCTGCAAGTGATCTCGGTCTCTTTGACAATCATCAAGAAGGATTTCTCGCTCTGCAAGAGGCCGTGGATTCGCTCAGAACTCCATCACAGCTTCAATTCCTTTTTGCTCAAATCTTACTCGAAGGGTACCCCGCCACGCCTCTTTGGGAGAAATTCAAAGCAGCACTCTCACAGGACCATGTTCTTCATCTCGGGAGCGAGCACAATGGCTGTACATTGGCACTACAGCAAATCGACGATGTTCTCTCACATAGTGGGAAGCATCTCGATCACTTTGGCATCTACTTGCCAGAAAAACGAACTGTAGAGTTAGTTAACGAGGACCGCTTCCTGGCAACCAACCGTGACGCACTAGAAGCACAACAAGATGACATGTGCGATGCTCTGAATGACGAACAGCGGCGCATATTCAACGCTATCTGCGATGGAATTGAGAGTCGAAGAAACACAATGTTCTTCATAGAAGGTCGCCCAGGGCGAGGCAAGACTTTCATGATTAATGCACTATCTTCGACACTACGTGCGTCTGGTCACATCGTGCTCATTGTTGGGAGTAGTGCACTGTGCGCAACAGCATATAAACGAGGACGAACGGCTCACTACATGTTTGGCATTCCCGTAACTGATGACAGCACTGATCTGCACTCAAAGATCCACCCATTTTCTCCCAGAGCTGATCTCATTCGCAATGCCACCGCCATCATCTGGGACGAGTTACCTATGGCCAACAAAGCTGCATGGGAGTGTGTCGATGAACTTTGTCGTCGCATCATGAATGTATACAACAAGCCTTTCGGAGCAATTCCCGTCATAGGATTGGGTGACTTTCGACAAGTAGGTCCAGTGGTTGATGGGGCAGGAGAGCACGCTTCACTAGCAGCATCTGTCAAGTCATCTCGCCTATGGAGACACATGCGAGTTTTCATGCTGACCACTCCCGTTCGCATGATCGGAGATCCCGAGTACACTGACTTCGTGGATGAAATTGGAGAAGACACGTCTGGTGCTCGGCGTTCACTCGACATCATAAACGAGATATCAGATGTCAATGACGGTGTTGACTTCCTATTTCCTCCTCACATTCTCCAAGATGCCGAACAGTGTATTCAGCGTGCCTTCCTATCCTCACACAACATGTTCGTAGACGAGTTCAACAACGTCGTTCTCGACGCACTGCCAGGAGACTATGGTGAGTCTACTCTCATGACCCTTCACACTGTCTGATCGTAAGAAAAAATAGAATCTTACTTCAGTTCAGACGTATTAAAAGAAGCTGATCAAGCACCAGCTGATGCGCCGGAACAAACTCCTGATTACCTCGCCATGCTCACCCATGCAAATACACCTCCGCACCATCTAGACCTCAAAGTGAACGCGATATGTGCAGTACAGCGAAATATGTCGGTGGAGAAAGGATTAGTACGAAATGCACGCGTGCGCATCACTGCTCTGCACCGACGTTTCGTCGAAGTGGAGATTCCACAAACAGGCAAAGTTCATTGCCTGCCTCGCATCACATTCTCTTTTAATCCCGCGCATTCAAATTGGACCGTCAACCGTAAACAATTTCCATTGCGCCCTGCATATGCAACGACATTCAACGGCTGCCAAGGACTCACTCTACGACGGGCCGTACTCGACCTTCGTACAGATGCATTCGCACACGGGCAACTGTACACAGCACTGTCCAGGGTGCGAAATCGTCACGACATTCGGGTGTTGTTTTCACGCGCGAATGAAGAAAGACAGACGGGAAACGTTGTTTATTCCTCACTACTGCTGTAAAGGTCAACCAATGTATACGCCCCGTTCTTACAATAATAGATGTAGATGGAAAGATCCGAGTACGCCGCGCCATCCGCAGGCGAGCGGATCGCTTGTTATTTTTAGTTTGTCTGTTCATTCGTATTGCTTTCGGCGGCGGCACACAGCCGTGTTGTCATGACGCCGCCGCCGAGCTCTCTGGCAATAACGACGGTGCAAGTCACCATTCTTCGCAACAAGCGTCTGGTAGTGACGACAACCCTTCATTATTTGACGTGAGCTGCCTTCAATTTATATCCTTATCACGGAACATGAGTTTGCTTCATGCAGATCCCTGTTATAAACACGACGCTACCCAATGCATGCATTGCCGAGGACCCGCATACCGCTGAAGACCTCCTGTCCCAAGAGATCGACGCACATGACAACAACCACGACTTATATGCCGACGAGGAAGACGATGCAGACGAATCGATCAAAGATGACGAGGAAGTACAGCGATTCCCTTCTCGTAGTGACACGCACGTATGCTGTTTCCTATTCTTGTTCCGCTTTTCTATTTATTCACATGACAAACAGCTGCTGGTGCACAGTCACGAGAACGAATACGAGCCCACCGGCGATCACGACAGTCCAAGCAATCATCCCTCAGATACTGACCAAGCCTCTGGCAGTGACGACAATTTCTCGTTGTTTGACGTGAGCTCTTGCCTTTGATGCATCTACTTATCACGCAATGCGAGCTTTTTTCATGCAGATCCTTGCTATAAACAAGACAGTCCGCAAAGCATGCATCAGCGATCTGCACATTGCTGAAGACCTGCTGACCAAAGAAATCGACGTAGATGGCAACAACCACCACGCGTATGCCATGCGCTCGATTGTAAGGGCGCGAAACTCCGAGTGGGACCAGGCACTTCAAGATTCAGCCAAGGTCAGACGCTCTGCCTATCATAACACGTTTGACGTTAATGTTACTTGGCGACATAGTCCATCGCTATCCAGCCCTCGTTATGGGGCTACATTTCCAAGGGCATCGCGCTCTGCGGCAACGACCAGATCTGCAACGCGATGGAAGCTTTCGATCTCGCTTTCGTATTTCTGAATCGAGTTTCGATCACAATCGATCTCTTACTATTGATCAAGGTACTCTCATCGCTGTGTTTGTAGTCAGTCTGTCATACTAAGACTTTGATATCATTTTTTCCAGGCTGTTACACTCTTCAATGCCAGTCGCCATGATGAGGCAATGCGGTGAGTTCAAGACCTCACCACCGCTTGTCCACATAATGCAGTAACATATACCTGTCTCAGA